TTCAGTTGAAGGAAGAGGGAAGAAAACATATGAGCCTCATGCTCCTCCAGTTCCTTATCCGGGTCAGGATCCTGATAACAAAAGGATGCTGCCTGCACAACTCCAACACAAGGCCTATCTACTGAAGCAGCTGCAGATTCATCTTCAACAGCAGATGAATTTGCAGCACTTGGGGGAGTTGCTACCCCTAGGGTCTGCTGTAGTTTTTTGGCTGTGACCCAGGGTCTGGGATGCAAGGACAGTCCTTCAGATAGTGTTGTCCCTCACATCGCAGGCAGACCCCCCTATCCTTCCTCCTCCTCCACACCCATTCCTGGATCTTGAGATCATGCCAGGGAAGGGTGGAAGGGTTCAAGGGGTCAGCTGACATACAAACGTCCCTTGGCAGATTAGGTCTTTGGGCAGGGGTAAAAGGACGACGTCCCTTGTCCTTCCCCTTGCTGCTGGTTGAGGTTGTGCTGGAGGGGGTTTTCTTTTGTAAAACCGCCAGTACAGCCTCAGTCAGGGCCGCAACAACTTCTGTTTCAGCAGGTGATGCAGTCCCAGCCGGTGGTGAAACAGCCTGGGAATCTGAGTCACTTGCTGATCCAAAACCTGCATGAGCAAAAGCAGCCTTTCCCCTTTTTCCACCACGAGGGAAGGCTCTCTTCCTCCTATCAGAGGAGGGGGTCTGGACATGGAGTTTTGCTTCCATATCCAGTGTTGCGTGGCCAAATGATCTCCAACTTTTGTGGCCAAAGCTATACAAGGCTGCAGCGAACTTCTCAGGCGCTGCCCTGCAGAAGTTGGTCAGTAGATCATCATTAGACATGACTAACCCAGGGGTGGAGGTGAGCTGCTCGAACTCTGCAAACAAGGAGTGAAGGGACCCTGAATATCGCTGCTGCCCTAGGCGAGCAATCCTGTCAGCAGCCTTCCGGACTCACTCCTTGTTTGTAAATCTGTCTTCCAGGGCCTGCAGAAGCTCGTCCACTCCCAAGCCAAAAGCCCAGTCTTCAGCCGCTTGTCCTGGCTGCTGGAGGTGGAGGTGGCCCACTTCAAAGAGGGGCCTCCAACAGACCTAGAACAGTTGAGACCTTTGTGTCTTCAGGACAGGTGAAGCCTCTCAGGTAGGCTCTTGCACCAGCGGCCTAGTCTCCAACATCCACTTTGGGGTCATCTCCCTTGAACTTGTTGGGGGCTGGGATCTTGGGAAAGATCCGCTGATCATCTGTTGGAGGGACAGTGGTCCCTGGGACTAACGCTTTTGGGGAAGGAGATGGTGGAGGGGAAGAATGTCTGGAACCACTAGGGTGAGAAGGAGGGGAAGGTTTGAGAGGTTTGGAAGATAGAGGGGAGGAAACAATGATATCAGCAGCTGTCAGCTGAGCAACCAAAGATTTTATTGCTGTCAGAATCTTTGTTTGTTGAGCTGCCAGATCATCAACACAGCATTCCAGCCGCGCCATCCGGTCATCCCGGTTAGTGAAATAAGTAGTTGTGGCTTTGTGGTCCAATCGGATCCACTCTGCCATACACTTATTCGCTTCTGAGGACCGACCATCTGCCTCTATTCTGGCCAGCTGCTCCGACAGATATGTCCTGCGGGACACATCTGTTGCAGCTTTCATCTCGGCTGCCTCCTGCCTCTCTAACTCTGCCAGCAGGTCCTGCTGCTGCTGCAACTTCTCCTTTCATCTCTTGGACATGTCGCTAAGTCGCGGTCAGAGGAGGAGGGGAGCTTGAGGATTGTGGTTCCTCTTTCACCACCTCTTCCTGTGACTGCGACTCAGCACCTTGCTCGGACATTTTTCTCCCTTCAAACAATTAGTAGACTGACAGTCACAGAGTATGTAGCGATTCTTAGACTTCTTTCAGACACACAGAGAATGTTGCTACCTCTGACACAGTAGTAGGCGGGTGAATAGGCAACAGGCGATTTGGGTTAGAAGCCTTCTCTAGAGGCCAGGAGTCGGACAAACATAGAGTCCAGCAAAATCAAAAACACGATTTCCTTCTGACTGACCCTGAACCACACTGGAGTCATTCCAATCAATTCCAGACTTTCTAGAGAGGTCACTAATGTTCCAGTGCCCACTAGAAAACAAGAGCAATCAGTAGGAGAGATGGAAAAGGCAAGTACAGACAAGCACAGATCAACAAGACTCAGCGATTTAGTCAGTAGACCTCTACCCAGACTCAGACTCAACTTTCGCCACTGATGACTCTGGCGACCATACCCAGGGGTATGGCGGATCACAACTTTCACTGTATCTGCTCAATTACTGCAAATCTGGACAAGCGCTTTTGCCCAGATGACAACAACAGAATTGCGCTTCACTAGAAACAGACAAACTTGAATTCTGACGGACAGAATTGTAACTATCATGGACCCTAGGTAGCACAGGCTCAACGCAGAATTACAATTCACAGTATCACTACTATTCCAGGACAGAATTCACAATCTAAACCTACTGTATTTAGCGCAATACTGTCAGGCAGTCACATAACAATTCCGAGCCAAAAAGAGTCGGCAGATGGAGAGAGATGAGAAACAGGAGATGGGGAAGAAGATGGCTATGGCTGTCATGCTGTCAAGCCAACCTGTTTTTAGACCTAGACTGACAGGTAGACCATCAATTCAGACTATACTGACACTAAATAATCCGCTACACTAAGTACTGTGTGGAACATACTCACTTTAGAGAGTTTTTGCAGATGAGGAAGAAGCTCTGGCTATGGCAGATAGTATACACCCTTCTTCCTTGTTCCTCCACCTCATCCACCCATCCACCATAGCCAACCACCTCACACCTTCTTCCTCCTCCACCTCCACCCGTCCACCATAGCCAACCACCTCACACCTTCTTCCTCCTCC